TTTTTTTTTTTTTTTTTTAACGAAGGATAAAATAGGGCAGGTATAGAAAGTGGATCTGCCGCCATCTTGCTGCAAACTTTTCAACCGGTATTGTTGACTCGTGATATTTTAGATTGAGCTACTTGATCGCCGAATTGAATTGAATATCGATTGTTATTTCGGAATACTTAATTGCCAGCTATTTACGACAGTAATATCTTAGATTGAATTATTTTATTTTAGAATATATCAATTGCTATTTCGGAATGCTTCATACTACCAGTTATTTCGGAGTGCTTAATTAACGAGAAATTTCGATTACAATTCTACGAATTTCTCTCTTCGATCATCCTCTCGATTTCCCTTCCCCGTTTCTTTTCCTCGTCGTGAGAAGAAGTAATCGTTCCCAAAAGAGAGACGTTCCACGATCCATCCCATATCGAAATCACAAACGACCTCCACCACTATATTAAAATAACGAACGAAGGAGAATAAAAAGCGAAGCAATGAAACAAATGGAAAGAGAAGGTGTAGCAACCTCCGAGCAACGTCACGTCGTGTTTTCCACTCGAGGAAACAACATTCGCATCTTCGCAGAAACTTCATAAAAAACAACCTTCTTTCCAACCGAGCTACAACTACAAGAAAAAAAGAGAAAGAATGGAACAGGCTGCGAGTACTTCCGGAATGGGAGGAGGGAAACGGCGAAGTAGATGGTTACGTTTTCTTAAATAAATAAATAAATAATTTTTCTCGAAAAGGGAAGAAAGAAGGGGGTTGGAACGAGTAGGTGACTAGTTGACGTGCAACACTTTGCACGAATCGTGAAATATATACAACAGAGAGAAAGAGAGAGGGGGGGGGTGAGAGGACGAGCAGAAGTACCGAGGCGAGGGCGAAAGTGACGGACCACGGTTTCCAAGCAACAGATATCGTTAGACGCGTGTAACGCAGGTGCACGCGAATGTAAAGAATTTCACGTTCCTTCGTCGAGCCACGTTCTCTCTGTTGCCATTGTCAGCCGGAGGTATGGTGGCAGGATAACGCAGGCTGGAAACCGAGGGGCACCGCATTGCAGGCAAGGGCGTTGTCAGGGGCGACCCTAGCGACCATAAAGCCTGATTCGCACCCGACCAACAAGCCCCACGACTCTCTTCGCGAAGAGTGGTAACAGCAGCGGCGAATATCGATCCTCGTTTTGATCTCGTGCCTCGAGAATTGTCGTTGTTACGTTGATTTGTCGCTGCAGACGACACGTTTCACATTTTCGGCTTAAGATTCATCAATTTACGGTCGCGAGCCATCGTCCAGGGAATAATGGTCGAGAATGTTGACCATTGTCGCTCGATTGCATATCGTTACATCTTGAACTTGCGGTTCGATATCTCTGATTTAACACTCGAATTTGTACGATTTGCTCGAATGTGTACGTAAACTACTTTGAAAGTATCAATTTGCAATATGGGCTTGGTGTGGTTCATGGGGATGCCTCAGCGCAGCGATCAATATTTCAGGATGTAAAAACTGAAGTTGGGAGTAATACTGAAAAACATTGAATATTGATTGATATCGAAACATTCCACTTTAGACCTGTGAAAAATTAAACGTATGAAATCGTATCCTCAGGACGTTCAAAGATTAAATTCATTTAATCACAATGCAGAGGAATTAATAATCCTCCATAAACAAACTCAGTTTCACCTCAATTCATAGACTTCAAGCCTTGTCTCATGTGCTTCACCACAAAGCTTATTCCACATTTTACTTGGTCCCCTCAGATTTTAAGGGATGACCCGAGGCCTCGAAGAAATCTGGGATGAGATTTGGAATTTAAAGTCCCTGTAGAGTGAAACCTACATGGTGTGAGGTGAGGTATAAAGACATACAGAGTGCTATTTACAGAGTGAGCAGTGTCTGGTAGAAGAAACAATTGAAAATAGTTTAAAGTACGATCCTTTGTTAAATTTGCTTCACAGAAGTTATATGTGTATAGTGCGAAATGAAATGTCGCGAAAGCTATACCATTCTTCATCGATCTAGTTTCTTCATATCGATTCCGACTTTTTGCAGCGGAGTTGCACCTGTTTGCTCCGACGCAGAAGTTGAAGCACCATCAGTTCGAAACTTTCTTGAAACTTATTGCTAGGTCTACGTTTTCATTTACATATCTATATGCAGTTCGTTCAGGACGAATGTGTAATATGGAAATTATTTCATAATATCACTCTTAACGATTCTTTAGCCCAAGATATATATTTGATTTAAGCAATTTCCTCGACTCGTAAGTGTTATTAATTCCTCAAACACGACGACAAGTGGTTTATCGTAATATCATAAATACAACAATTTTCTTAAATTTCCTTAACGTTATAAAATTTAGGTGACGTACAAATTAAGCTGTAGTCGTACAAATTAACCTCCGAGTCGTTCAAAGATAAAACTCGATTATGCAGAAGAATTAATAAACGGAAATTAACGATTGGAAGAAATTAACAATTGAAATATCGCGTCAGTGCAACGTTTACCTTTAACCAAGGAATAT